ATCAAAGAAATCTTTTATACATTCACAGAAATTTATTGATCACTTGTCATGGGCCGGTGTATTGAAATACACAAGTGAAAGAGAACAAGATGATATTGACATATATTGTTTTCTGATACACAACTATTAAGTATGATAATAGAACAGTTAATTTATGCTAATATATACAAATACTGATTACATAATATAAATTATACGTGACAATATTTGAAATAATAACAAAAACATTTATCACTTGACAAAGCAAGTTATCTTCATCTTGTTCAGAAAAAAATATGAGAAAACTTCAATTAATGTTGTCATGTAACTTAATTAAGAATTTGTAAAGTGAAAATCAATCTTGTTTTTGGATATTGCCCATAGTTTGTTCAACCTTATTTTGTCTTATTCAAATCAGTATATGTTTACATGGTAGTTTTCTTTTTGTTTTAAGAGAAGCGAACTATAAAAAAGACTTTATTTACTACCAGATTACAACTAGCAAAAATGGATAGTGGCTAGCAGTGGAATCCAGGACGCGCATTTCATCCTACTTGGAACACGTCAGCTGGATGTACCTGTATCTCAAAGTTGATGTTCACTCTGGGACTCGAACACAGTACCTTTCGCTTCAAACGCTATCGCGTTATCCACTCAGCTACTGGGTCCTGATAGTCACTTGCTTGTGCAATGGGGTGAAGTTTGAATTCACTTAGTATTGTTTATTTGAATCTTCCCATCTTCTCAGACAAACAATACTAAGATTATAACTAGGTTTATATGAATGTAAAATACATTCTTTTGCTCGATATTTAAGACCATAATCTCCAATTAAAACTTTCATTCAATTTGTGATCGTTAAGTTCTATAAAAATATAAATGTACAATTAGATCAAGATCTAAGACAAGAAATTAAAAATTTCATTGTGCATTATGTGCATTAGTCGCCAAAAATAATGTAAACAATCTAAATATCTTGTATGATACATACAGGAAAGTTTTACCAGCCTTATTGTTTTGACATTCAAGATAGCAACAACAGATTCATATACTTGATTGATTAATGACGATTTATTCAAAATTAGTTGATACATTTAAAAATAGATTGTCCAAGATAACAACAAACCTTTTCAAAGGAATACTATAACTGGTAAGCGAAAGGTAAATACAAAAACACCCCAGTTCATTAAATTAAAAGATTACTAATAAAGGATTTCATCGACCAAAAATGGATGAATTCATTGAGGACATAGATTTACATAGAGCGTTCAGACATCGATTAGTTTTCCGTCCGTTATGAAGTACGTACGTTTTAACCACTTATCAGATGGTTAATGACGCCATGCTCTCTTTGAAAATGCTGATCAGAGTTTACCTAGCTAGTTCTAATGTAATATTTCATTTGAATAAAGTAGCTATGATTTCCAGCCTTCACGGATGTAACGCTTAAACTAAAAATGTTCGACATAACAATTCTATACGTTACAAACAAGCTCAGATAATAATGCGATATCAGGATTATATCGCATCTAAAAATTCGTCTGAAGGCAAACTACAGTTTCCTTATTATTGACGTGTTTAAAGTGAAGTTAACTAATTTTGAGTTCCCAAGAAGGTATGAATCAACCTAGATTTCTACATCACGATGTGATAACGGAGGTTGCGAAAGTTAAATTCATTTACTATCGCTGACAGACACTAAATACTTCTATATATTGAACAGTCATTCTGCATGGTTGACTCAAAACAATTTGGCGAGACTAAAATTTATGGACGAGCCAATCAGAAGCGTTTGAAGGATTTCAAGGTCACAACGCCAATTTCAGTACTTGACGCTCATGTACAATCAGTTCATAGAGGATTTTAGAGAAAACGTGACAATTAAGCGGCTACAATAAATGGGACTACCAAGGAGTTCCTTTATTTGTAATTGCGGTAATCAAATGACTTGTAGACCTTGTGCAGACTACCCTGATGATGTTATCTTTCGATGTAATATATGTTAGAGGAAGAAGTCTGCTAGGATAGGAACCTTTTTCTCTCGATCCAGAGTGAGACTAAGGCAAATTATAATAACTCCTGCGAACTGTATAATAAAAGCACCAGTATTATTGGCTGCAATATTCGCAGATGTTACTGAAGCTTCGGCTGTTCAGAGGTATGAGTATTGTAGGGATATATGCGTAATAAAAATGACAAACCTGCGCAACCGGAGTACATACAAACAATATGGAAGCTATGTGGTCGAGGCTTAAAGACCTTATCATGGCTCCAGAGACCGAGTATTGTGGAGCCATATGGATGAGTTCGTCTACCATATGCATTACAATTTTAGAACCTTTTTCTAACCTTGACAACCTTTTGGACCATGTAAAAGAAGTGTATTTACTCTAATTCTTTGGTGTTGTATAATATATTTTTACGCTATACTAACTGTTATCTGATCGGCTAATATTTCTAAATGTCACTCAAGATTCGTTCAAAGGTCGTCCATAAACTATAGTCTCGCCGACAATTTATTAGCATTCTAATAGATAAAATTGAAATCGCCTGCCGAACACATTTCATCATCATATTCGACTTGTTCACGTGCCTTGAAGTAATTTTCGTCAATACACCAACCAACATTCAAATTTTAAATCATGTAAAAGTATAATTTCATCAGTTGGGTTATTCAGTTATCTTTATGTATCCACTAAAATGTAATAAATTCATTACATTATATAAAGCCAGATTATTTCTATTTCTTACTCAAAATTGTAGTATCAATTTTCAGTTATAATAGCGATACAATCGATAATAAACTGTTAGCAAGATGTTTTATTGAATTGATAGTAGTTGACCACTCAGTATCACACTATCGCATATGAGGAAAATTATAATCACGTTCCAGTACATATGACTTCTGTTTATGAAACAGAATATCAACAAAAACAAACAACGGATTTGCAAAATAGAACAAGGGTCAATCTACAAGCACACAGCACTACCACCTATAAGATGAATTGAAACTGATCAACAGACCGATTAGTTGACCGAATAGAAATAATCACAAGTAAATAAGTATTAAGAAATATCAGATAACAAATTTTTATTTTTACAAAAATAAAAGCAGATTGACGGTTGACTAATATTTTATCTATACTCCTTATTCCGAACAGCTCGTTTACTGTGTGAATAAATAAACAAACAAGTAATCACTAAACAATAAACAGAATGAACTTTCAAAACAAGACATACAAAAAGATAGACGGAAAGGAAAAGGTAGCCATAAGTGAATACAAGTACTGAGAAAATAAAAACTGAAAGAATATTTAAACATATAAAACGGAAAAAGATTCATGTGGACAAGAAAGCATGAGAAAATACATATACTGAGGAAATGGAGAAATAACAACGACAGCGAAAACAACAAAAGAGTCCTTCTAGCACTGAAATGTCTATACATCAAGAACAAGTTAAACGATTAAATTATAAATAAAGCAAGAACAAACATTGATGCAGAATTAAATTATATGTTAAAAATCGTTATAGAAAACGAAAACAATCCCTACTTCAGTAGGTAGAATTCAATTGCTGATATTAGATTGTGAGTTAAAATGCATCAAAATACTTGAAAATATATGATTTAAACTACTTGACAATATCAAACGAGATAATTACGATGGGTGTGAAATTCTATTAGAAAATATTGGATTGAATTATTTCTCTAAGAAAATCAATACAAGAAAAGTCTAATATTAAATTTTGCAAAAAACACTTGATAAGTTATGCAATCAATGATTTAGTTCTACATAGCACGTGGATAATCATAGCAAATATTGAGATCACTTTTAAAGTGTGAATTTACTGGTTTTACACTTTAGTTATATTTTAAGTAGACTGACAGATATGTATTTGTTTTAGTTCTTTTGACGTATCACCTTCACACATTTGGGGGGCATGGTATGATAGATATAGTATCTGTTAAACACTATCTATTATAACATTTGTCTTTTTCATACCTCAATTTCCGCATACCAGCTTGTAGACACTATTGCACAGAAGCTGGAGAAAAATATTTTCAACACCTGTATAATCATTTAGATATGGTAGGTTTCTAGGAAGAAAAAATTATTCACAACACTAATCTCTCTCCCTAATTATTTCATAATCAGAATAAAAGACCAAACGGTTATAACTACTGAAAGCTGTTTACGGTGGACAGTATCAGTCCAGTTCAAGATTGGAAAGGTTTCAATTCATAAGATACCATTAAAACTAGAAATACAGGAAAAGTCAGAGATTATTTCTGTAAAAATTATGAAGATGAAAATCGTGTTTACTTAATTTTATACTCACACAAAACATCTCATACTTCCATGTAATGATAATAATTGAAATATGTAGGAAATAGACTAGTATAGAACAAATCGTATTTGTTAATAACTTCAGGATTTCACTTGTGATTTTTGCGATAATTTACTGCATTTATTTATTGTTTCTTATCCACACAACCGATTAATCTTGTTTACTTTTTAGTTTTATAACGTTCATGTCTTTTCCGGTTAGCAAGATATTTTATTTACTGTTTACAATCTGGAACTGGGTTATTTAAATAATACCTACTGCTGTTCAACGGGAAATGTTGTCTGGAAGCTTAGAATACTGAACAGTAACTCAATTGTAGATACCCTCTAGAAATGGATCTTCAATCAAATACCCACACGCAGAAACGCACTATTCCGAAAACTAAGCACATATATCAGTGATGTATTTGGTAAGTAGTCTAACCCCTAAAAGAACAAAATCAAGTGAATGATTCTAAGCATATCATAAGGTGGAATTGGAATAAAAAGGATAATCACTGTTAACAATAAGATAGTTACTACAACTATTACCAATGACTACAGGTAATATTATCCATAAATCAAAACATCTATCTTGTGACCCACCAATTGTATATACAATCCCATCAAATAACGCAAACTACAGTACATAACACTAATAACTCAAGCAATTTGTTATAACAAATTGTTTTAAGATACTTTCAATATATTTGTGCTAGAGTTTGTACATCTTATGCTCATCAAGACAGTTCAATAAAACGTTAGAGATATCCCGAAAAATTAAGACTACAGCTAAGGACCAATCAGACATTTTAATTACATTCACAAAGAAAAATGCAGATGTTGATATAATTTGAAAAGTATTTAACACACCAAAACGAGACTTGTTAAACAGCAAACATGAATGAATTGCCTCGAATGTTCAACAAAAAACATCCAGAACTAACTCATGTAAATGAAAGTTATCATTCATAAATCTAAAAAGGGGAACTTTCGTGAAAACTGTCATGACAAGAAAACGAAAAGCATGTGATTTGTAATACGCATACTAACAGATAAGAGAAAAATGAAAATCAAAGCAAACACAGCGTAACATAAAAAGATTGATGAGCTGGATAGAACAAAAATAAAGATCGAATAGTAGGCATGCCCTAAAGTGGGCATTCATTTCACCAACGATAACTTTCTGCTATTAAATTCAAGTAGCCCAATTGGTTTAACAATCCCACATCGGTATATGTAGAGGGGGAAATTAAAGATTAGTTGGGAGAACGAGCAATCACAACAGAAAATAATTTGTTTTGAAAATACTTTAACAAGATTATATTGAACAAAAATTTCGAAAGTCAAAGTTGATAAACAGGATAAACTGAATAAACAACACAGAAAAAACATTTTCGCCAACGAATCAAAAAAATGTAGAAGGAAAAATAAAAGGAGGACATGAAAATAGAACTAAGGAGAGAATCACTTCTTGAGTGAACCTGATTTTCGTTTACGCACAGATGATGTGACCTCACTCGGATGATTAGAATCGGAAAGGGTCTGGTCTGGATCCGAAGAAGTGGAAGATGGTAACGATAAAGCAGGCGTTGTTTCGCTATTGGGATCGGATTGCTTCGGTTCACACTTATTATGACAGTCGAGCATTTCCTTGCTGACTCCAAATTCATTAATACGATTGGGATCCATTGGATATATCCAACGTTGATATAAGTAGATGAAAAATATCACGTCTAAAAGAAAAGTAAGACATAACAGTAAAATTTCTGAACAGATCTGTTTTTAATTGATCGCGTCTAATATTCTTGCTTTGTTCCTTTGTACTATTTAAAATTGGGTTATATTTATTCTCTGAAGAAGTGGTTTACACGAAACGTCAGAAAATTTGATTTTCCTAATCATTGGGATACTACAAATATATTGTTTTTATTTATTTCAAGACTATAGTTCATGTCTGAACAAAAACACTCATATATGAAGAGTGTGATATTAAACAGTGTGTACAATTAGTGTAGTGATTTAGAGGTGAAGTGCAAAAACGAAAAACAAACTATCATGATATTACAGTATGTGATTATTTTGTTACGATAGTTGAAATATTTTTTTCTGAAGAGAATGATATTCGTCTGCATACATCTGCTACATTGATAAGGCAATCTAATATTGAATATACAGTCCAATATATTCTTAATCAACGGCAGTAGCATTATTTGATTCCCACCAACTGTGACATTAAATAATTTGTACAAAGAAAAAAATCTAAACTAATCAAAATGGTGGATTTTTAATCTTTTGAAAATCGAAATATTACACTGGATTTTTTAAGATACTGCCTTTTATATCAACAGTTTTAGACTAAGCTAACAAACATATTCTTAAAAATTCAGTGTCTTACCGTCACGTAAACAACCAATTCGATACAGAGTGGGCATACGGATAACAAATGCAAATAAATCATCAATAAAGGTATTCAGTGCTTTGTATGTTAACATTCTCCAAGGAAGATGAGCAACAGATTTCATTTTATAATTGATAAACAATTGTGGGGTCATCATGATGAAACCTACAAAGTATACCAAATAAAAAAATGTTGAGATGTCAGATATCACACTGTGTGATGTAAGATTTATTGATTAGTTCTTAAAATATATTTTTCATCACCGATAACTAATTGAAATGTATAGCCAGATTAATTTGCTCATAAGGTTCCTAAATTCGTTTATTTAAGCCATAAAGTTTGTTTAGATTATTATTTATTTGAGAGGGGTAACCGAGTGTTGTTGAGAGTATAAGTGATTTTTATTTTTCAGTTGCTCAGCCGTGGAAGGATACTTTTTAAAACACATTACAAAAAACTGGATTAAGTGTTGTTTTGATGACATGGTAGAGTAGCAATAGTGAACAAGGGACTATTGCTTGAGGTCATTTAAATAGTCTTTTTGTGAGTAGCTTTGGATGAACCAGCTCCATACTTTTAAGGCCTAACTGTTGGGGACGGTAATCCGTCTAGTAAGGTGAGGTGGGATATTTTCGAAACCAACCTTTTTTAACCTCCTCGTTCTCTTGTAGAAAGGCAGCAGCTTTGCACATGATGATTATCTAGAGTTAATGTCTTAGTGTCGTCACATTACAGTGTAGTACGATTTCACCTTTAAAAACTGCGTTTGCCGCTTTTAGTTTTATTGTTCTCCGAATAACCCGCTTCGCAATGTAGAAACTAAAGGAACGAGTGTTCCGCGACATTCAAGTTCAACTACCAAGTCAATGTATCAGCTACGGTGGGCTAATCAACTACATGGACATTTAGTTTCATACAAAACATAGCTAGTAATAAAAATTAGTTTTAAGATGTAAATGGATCTCAATAACAAAGCAGCAGACATAAGCAGAAATCATTAAACCGGAAAGGGACTGTCGTACTTGATAACAAACAAGTAACTATTTGAACACCGATAGTTAATGAATCTTATGTACAAAACTAAGTAAAACACTATCAATTAATAAGATTGATGGAAGTTCGAAACAAAAAGGAGTTTGCCATCCAAATCAATTTCACCCTGTCTAACTGTAAAATGTGTATTTGTTAAACGTTGACCAATAAAACTAGTTACCACAAACATTAAACAACTACTGATACACTGGTTCACAATAGACGACACAAAAATACATAACATTATTCTACTTAAATTAGTCTGGTGAACTAAAACACCTGGCATCTGCAATTAAGATTACTAGTCACAAATTATATATATATATATATATATATATATATATATCTGTGGGAAAATTTATCATCCTAGTAACTCATTGAATACAGTCAAGAAGTAAATTGTTGTTGAGACTACTGATTTTATTACATGCTCGTCGTTTGTATATTACAATAGCGTTTTGTTAATTTCAAATGTTTAGAGAAATAGAAAATTGAGATTTTATTAAGTTAAACACAATAAGCAGCAAAAACTCTATGAAATGTAAAAAAATCTAACGTTGAGAGAATAGTTATCCGGGAAATCTACAATTCGATAGTGACTTTAAACATTTGGTAACCGAAATGATGAACTTGTGGACATCATTGAACCAATGAAAATAAAAGATATTATTACTATTATGTAAAAGGAACGGGTAAAAACTCATAATGTTGATTATTTGGTAAGTGTTTGATGATTAAGTTTAATAACAAAATGATAAAGTCTAGTTTGTTGTGTGAGAATGGGTGTATATTTACGCCTTTATACTATTGTACTAAATCATAAAACGTAAATAAAAACTGTTCGCTTGATCTTTTTAAATCGACAGGGATTGTCGCGTCATCAAAATATATTACGCTGTAGCGCAATGAAAGCTGAATGAATTGATGATTTGAACGCTGTTCTACAATTATTTATTTCAAGCTACTTCGATCAAAATTAGTGGTTTATTACAAGTGTATGACAAAAACTTACCGAACGTCAACAGGAAACCGTAAGAGACAGAAAGTATCCACGAATACCAACCACGATGCTCTTCATATATTAATGAATATCCACAATAAGCTGCTAACAATGGGAATAAAATCCACGATAAATATCGGAAAGCCATCTGAAAAATAGTAGAAATTCAAATATCATTTCTTCTCTTAAGATATGTGAATGCCAAGAAACTGATACAACAGAAATGATAAACTGAATATGCTAAAATAGACGCCAATAAAAACAATAAAACTTGGTATGCTGGAAGGTTATATGAACTTGTGATCTGAGTCTGTCTTAGTACTGGCCAACCACATCATACATAAGACGACTGCTTTTTCAGCACTAAAAAGAAGCTATCTTTGTGCATTATTCTAAGAGAGATTCATGGACTAGAATCCAGTTCTAAAAAACTAAAGCTTAATTCTATTCAACATTCTTCCATAGATTGTCATAAAATAGACTAAATATTCGGTAACTCTGGTATTATCAGCTACACTATAGGTGACTGAGTACAATAAGATAATGTTTAACGGGTATGTGTGGCATAGTTGAAATTTTCCAACACGCTTCACGATATAAACATTATAACAACAGAAAATTTTAATATAATTTACCTGATCATATTTTTTGGTATCACTTTCTACGTATGATGATTGGTAATCCACATGAATACATGGAAATACATTGAATATCAACGAATCATAATTAAACTAAATCAACGGAATAAGAACAATAAAAAGGGGTGATACTATTGAAAGTGTAAGAGATCAATTCAAAAAATATCATCAGAAGCTGTAAGCAAATGCGTTTAATCTTATTAATCATAATTAAACTAAATCAACGGAATAAGAACAATAAAAAGGGGTGATACTATTGAAAGTGTAAGAGATCAATTCAAAAAATATCATCAGAAGCTGTAAGCAAATGCGTTTAATCTTATGGCCAATAGATATGATAGAGGAAAGCGAAGAATTTTATATTCTTTTTGTAAAATATAAATTCCTTTACATGTGTTGAAATGTGGTAACAGCCTGATGGACTCGTACCGGTCAGTCAGTCAGCTACAACGTAGGATTCGTACCGGGCGACCTGCTCAATTATTTGCCACAATTATTTTTCAACTGCTTAAATAATCCAACTAAAATAATTGTTCCATATCTATTTAAACCACTCTACAAGCCCCATATATTAAAAATAATAATGTGCACACTAGTGACTGGTCTCAAGAGGTAATTCAAGGAGTTCTAGTGAGGAGTTATGGTCAGCGAAGTTTAAACATGTTGGGTGAGGCAATCACTCACTAAAAACAACGAAAGATAGTTACTCAATATTGTGAATCAACAGAAATTAGACGTGCACACTACTGGGTGTCGAATCAGTATTTTAAAGGCAAAACTAGCGCCGTGAGTCCTAAATGGTTTGGGGTTTATTACAGGTGGGGTCGTAGATATGCATTACTGAGGAGTCTCATACTAGAACAAAACAGTTGTCCAATGCTTTCTGGTTACGAATAGTTGTTTAACTTAGGTCGGTTTCTGATATCTATGAAATCCGAAAATCCCCGCACACAGCCCGTATTGATAAACAATTATTTGTTGTAATACTGCACAATCGATGCTTAGATTTCTATGCTGTACAAAAATTTAAGGTACTTATATATATATATATATATATATATATATATATATATATATATATATATATATATATATAAAGTTGAAAGTGGTACTGCGATAGTGTGACACTAGACAGTGAATACAGTTCGAAAGTAACAAGTAACGTGGTAGAATACAAAAATTAATATAGGTACGAAATAAGTAGAAACAACTCAATAACTATAAGAAGATAAAAGAATGAATATATTTGAGGCACTGTTTGATAACCCGGGAATAATCAAGTTGGGAGACCCACTTGTTAGATAAGCGAAATTGTTTATTTTCGCATGACAATGTCTGATTTTTTCCAATAATTTTGTTTTAAATATGTTTATTGACTCAATGTTTTTTAGATAAAGACGATATATTTTTAGGTTTTCTATTTACAAAAAATTTCTAATTAAATAGAAAGACTAATCATTCATAGAATCTCTTTATGTTTGTATAACTCAACTTACTCTGAAAGAAAGGACTTTCTTTATTTTCCAGATCTCAATTAACAGTCCAAAAACAACTGATAGTTTTATAACAAAATTGGTATCGTTATCAAGTACGTACAGCACAACAATGAATGACTGGAAGACATTGAAAAATACCGAGCGAACTGAGAGACCTTCTAAGGATTCTCTTGTTTTCCAAAATTGTATATCTAAAGGATTGTAAAAGAAATATATTCCACACTTAAACACGAAATCAATTAAATCAAGCAAACAGAAGCATAAACCGTATGAATACATTTTGACCAACAATCACAAAGTTTGATTTAAGTCTTAAGAAACTAGAGTGCTTTGATTTTTCTCTTCACTGAATGGAAATATCAAACTTTCAGATAACAATAGATGGATTTTTTAACTATTATTTAGCCACTATGTAGAGTATTAAAACATGTAAGTATGAAAACAGGTGTCTTGTTGATATACACATTTTGAAATTTACCAAAACAGATATTACTATGCTCACACTGACTCTAAATACAGTCAAAACAATATTTGTTTTAAATCAGCATGAAAACAGTAAAATAGAAAGAAAATATGACATGATTTATTGAACTCACCATTTTTAAATGCTAACAATTCAAAAACACTATGAACAATTGATACGACAACTGTTACAGCTAAAAGCAAAGGATTTGTTTCGATCAGTGCTTTCTAAATGTATTACGAAGAAAATGGAAAAATCAAGCATATAATAAGAAATGGAAAATAAAGTGAAGTAAACATAATAAATTGTTGAGTAGCGATATAAAAAAAAATCATGGTTAATGATATTGCTTGACAAGTTGTTATAGAAGACAAATTTGTGATCAGCATGTCTTAGTTGGCATTATTAGACAGATGATGCACAATGATACATTATGATTGAATGATAGACACGAGCAAAACCGTATTACTAACGACAGTTTAAATGAACTGATGTAAAAAAAAAACAAAGAAACAAGCGTACCGTTTTAGTGAACGTTAATGTGAGAAAAATTAGCACCGACACAAACATTATTACGTCACATTTAAAGTACGACCGATACGAGGTTTCTATGTCACTGACGTGATATTGAAATTAAGACCAAGATATCCGGCTTAATTGTTGTCCATTATATTACAAATTATTTTCCGCAACCATTTGGTGCCATCATGAGTTGTTTCATTGATTTTCAGCCAAATTTTATAATCCAAATTCATGAGAAATGTTTCCTAGTCCAGGTGTTTTTGTTGTTAATCAATTTAGTTTCAATTTATTGGTTTGCACCAACAAAATTTTGACCATACACAATATGTCTAGCGACCCACCAATTAACATAATGTACGAGAAGACATAACGTCTCATCGAGAAACTAATCTTTCCATCGTCATTAAGGGTTTTGTTTGACAGTGGTTAATTTCCTAAAGCGACTAACTGTTTATTAAAGAAACGTTTTAAAATATCCGCTTCATTCACGAAAGTTCTGAGCAACTAGGCAATACCAAAATATCCATCTCGATGCATTAAATCAAACACTTGAAAATTTCGGCACTAAATTCTGTACCTTTATAACCAATTCCCGATTTGAAAAGTTCCTACTGGTAAAAAGTCAACTACTGATGACAAACTTTCAATATTATATTTCTCAATAAACAGTCACCCGAGTTCAGAAGCAATAAGTATTAAACAAATTTCGGATATGATACCGTAAAGAGGTAAACTCCCCTAAACTACAGATAACTAAGTTTTAAAAACTTATAAGGAAATCAAAATGGACGGCAGATAGATGACGCTCTGTTCAAGGAGTCTGGTTAGTTAGTGAGTCTTAAGAAACTAGAGTGCTTTGATTTTTCTCTTCATTGAATGGAAATATCAAACTTTCAGACAACAATAGATGAATTTTTTAACTATTATTTAGCCACTATGCAGAGTATTAAAACATGTAAGTATTCTCAATTCCCCAGTTGCAAACTAGTTGTCACTTTTTAGTTTCTTAATTTACCGTCGTATTGATTTATAATTTGTACAAAATGAGTAAATGCAATATACCCAATACTCAAAAGAACTCTAACACATCTTCCATACCTACAAAAGAAATTACTTCGGTTACTGAAATACTGGTGTAGACATTTTAACATAAGTAAAAGATATCTCAGTATATGTCAATTCACATTCGATTGGATGTAACCTATAGTTGGTTAATCAAATACACTCGCTACGTAAAACTAATTTACGGACCAGACTGAAAAATGATGCAAGATAACCTTGAGTAGTCATCGTTTGGTTTCACCTGCTTCTTGGATGAATGATTGGAGGTTATTCTGTGTAGAGTTCAACGAAAGGTTGTTAATTCCTCACCATACACGTTGGTTGATCAAACACTTGTGAACAAACGAAATTCAATAAAACAGTAAATGATGGTAATTCTGTTCAATCACACTGTTTAATGTCTCTTCAGTTCACTTAAACTACTTAAACAACGTTCAGTAACTAGTATATTTTTGCTAAATTCTGTGGACAAATGTGACCTTTCCAATTCTTACCCATGGCTTATAACTGAATCTCACTTCCACAACAAAAATGCAGTAAGTAATGTTGGTTATGTATTATGTTCAAATTTATAGATTTAACTATGATAAAATAAAAAAACTGTCTATATTCACAAAAACAATAAAAGATCACAATAATTAACGAACTGCTTTATGAAAACAAGAACAAAGTTCATACTAAAAACTAAAAAAAGAAAAATCTTTGTACTCCACATCATAAATTTTACCTTTATTGTATCTTGTTCCTCATCATTTTCATTTTCTGATGGTAACATAGAAGTAGCCATCAACTGATTGAACCAAGTTTTCTTAGCTGTTTGTGCAGCGTACAACTGCCATTTGAATAGAGATAAAGGCGCTAAAGTAATATGAATTGGTAGTATTGGTGTAGTTTCATTCACTGGTTTATAATCTTCATTTAGATTCCAATAATCATTCAGATAAACAACGGGATAATATTCATTGGTAGGCGAATAAAACTCGATAACTGAAAAATCAGTAAAAAACCCAAGCGATTTCAGAAACGTTCATTCGTTAACTTATAAAAAAGACTAGTCATATATATATATATACTAGTCAGAATTTATGCCATTTTTAGCAGCTAAATAATGTATAGCCTGTGTAGTGAGACGAGTGGTTGTCCCAATCTAATTAGAAAGTTTATTAAAGATTCAAGTTTTCTAATGATGACAAAAAGACTTGTCATGATGTTAAAGGTCAAATAAAAACAATCTTTTAAATGACAAAGTATAGGAAGTAATTATGAGATTTTATTCAGGATATACAGAAGTAGGCAAAATAATGATGACCACTGCAAATATTAAACTTTTTTGATTAAACTACTGAGAACAGAAAACATTTCTATGAAATGTTAATAAAATTTGAGGTAGTTGGAAAACGATAAATAATTCCGTCATACGACCGGTACATACTATACATATTAGCCTGGTGACTATAGGTGATCATTTCATGTTCGTTTAGTGGAAATATGGTTGCATTATATGAAGATATTGAGAGCACAATGTCGATTAAAATAATTTGCATACTTTGAGATTTTTCTTTAAAAAAACAATCGTTATTTTACTTGAGAAATACATTAAATATTAGGCAAAAAATCTGTTGAATAAAAGACATGAGATATGCGACAAATGACAATTTGCATAATTTTGGTTAGTACTAGTATCGATTAATGACATAATCTGTTCATTGTATAAATGATGAATTAAAGTTGTATGGTGAGGGGATTACTATATACAGTACGCATGTTTAGGGATCATGAGTCCTTTAATTAAACCCTGGAAGATGTTGTAAGTAGTCGGTGAGAAAGCTTGATAATAATCGGACTCACATATTTCACCACAAAGAAATTTCGATTTTCAGTAAATACCACTTTATGATAAATATAAAAATTTAACCTTCAAATAACGAGAAAATCTCGTTATTATCTATAAGTTCACTTAATACAAAATTATAAATTAGTCTGTAGTTTTAACTTTGCGCGCAAAGAACACGTTTGGTTACATCGGCTAATAAATCGATAAATACCAAACTCACAAAATGGTGACAACACTCCATAAAAACTGCGTTAAATATATGTTTATTATCTTGATAAATAACGGTCAAAAAGCGCATTTCAATCACGTTTAATTAGCACAAACAAATAAACAGTATACAATGTGAGTCACTAATCTACCGTGGAAGCGCATACAACAACAAACCTTGAAACAATAAGCAAGTAACATTGAAAAGTAGCTACCACTTATTCTTTTTCTAATTAAATTCAACCAAAGAATGATCAATTAGTTGAAACTTATAACAATGAAATTCACCGAAGAATAATAAAATCAGATAAAAAGCTGAATGTAAATTTAAACTTATACAATCAAGAGTTTCACCAGAGTTTGGAATATGCACTATAACTTTGTATTGAACCCACAATTGACTAATAATAACAATAATGCAACGCCTAAAAGTTGCAGATACGAAAAAATATCTGATTAAAATAATGATTTGTAGTGCGAAAATTACGAGGACTGAAAATTTAACCATGATAACAGTGATTATCTGCAACAGTATTGATTTCATATGTTAAGGAGAAAATGCGTACACTGAAATGGTAACTTGCATATCTTTCGGTTTTAGATAACATTTTCATAGCTACTACTATTATTTTCACCAAATGTAAAAGCATAATGCAGACATGCAAAATAATTTTTTTCGATGAATTTCGTAACCACTAACCATCGAAATGAAATAAAGGTCTATTTTGAAAGGAAGAAGTTAGCAACAGAAATTGACCATTGCTTTGCAAATTACATACATATGAAACAGGAACAATACCAGCTGGTCAGTTATAATGTTAACCACACCAATTAAATATGAAATCCAATGAAAAGCAAAGCTGGGAATATCCAATATCCCAACTTATAGTAAATCTTTAATTTTCTACATAACCTGATACAGTCAAAGGATAAAAAGTTCAGGAGTATGAACAAAATAATCGAGTATAGATGCTACTTTAATCTTACTGCCTTTTTGCTTTATGTACTACCAATACGCCCCTAAATGTCCTGGTACGGCCGAGAGTGGGGAGGGCCCGCCCTCTCTCTAGAAATGCTCTCACGCGACCACGCGTAAGCAGTCTCTGCTAGGGAAGTCCTACTCACTGCCTTCTCGTGGCGGGGGTGTTGTTCACAAAAGTGAGAGGACTAAAAGCGAATGTCCGGCGCTTTAACCGGGTTGGTGGATGTGGAGGATCCACCTAGAGGAGTTGGAAAACCCTCATTCCAAACCAAAGGTGCACATGGGCTTCAAGATCCTGAGGGGACGAATGGCGTATGAACCAATTGTTGGTCATCGGCTACCATGGGACTGCATCTCTTTACGATGCACCACTACCTTGTGGATTAGGCCTCTAGGTCAAAGGCTCCGGGTGTGGCCCCCTAAGAAAACTACCTGCTTCGGTTTGGGCACCCGGGCAGTATCATAGCCCTCACACAATTAAATGAAATGACATTTTTTGTGTGGCGCATATATATCTGGTGCCCCCCCTGGTACCAATATTTATGTGTTCAAATAAATAAATAAATAAACGAATGCAACTTCAAAAATACTTTTATTGATCTTATGAGACCGAATTTTAGGCTACCTCCTTGAGTTGTCATTGTTTAAACTGTCATTCAAATCCCAATAAATATTTGATTCCAATGGTACATGTACATTAAAATGATCACATAATGACCCAGAATACACTTAAATAACTTACTGTATTATCCCTAGTTAACAAGTTTAACTGGTTTGATATTAACTTGTAAAAATATTCAGGCTTATGAAAATTCGAAAACCTAAGAAGTAGACTACCTATCAAACAGTCTTCATCGATAGCATTAATAGTAGGAAAAATTTGTTAGTAATGATAGAAGTAACAAAGAGAACAATGTAAAAATTAGCAGTTACTGTTTAAAAGACTAAACACCAGTGATTAAAATAAAAGTGGGGACTTGAAAAATGATATGTCAATGAATTAAATGCTTACTGTATATACTGATAACTTCATGAACAATTATCAGATAATATTGTATGACACACTGTGAAACAAAAATCACATTTCTTTTATTGAGTTATAAGTTATTTGAAACAAAAAGAGTAAGAATGTTTGGTACTAACAAACTTAGACTTCCAAGTACACGTATTGCATTAAAGCTGATAAGCGTAAAACTGTACACCACTTTTCATTGAAAAGAGAATACTTACATTGATCCAAAGGAACTGGGACAGAACCTTTTACCCATGGAGAATGGTCATCAACTAAGTTAATAGTTAGATTTGGATGCCAATGAGTGGTCGGAGGTAAATATTGTACATCGGATGGTGTCGAAGAACCAGCTACCAAATCTGGATGAGAATCAGTATGACCTGTGATTAGATTTGTGGTACGGGATAAACGACGACGTTTGTAACGCGTCAACACTGAAACACAATACAGTAAAATAATCAATAAACCATGTGTCGATATTTAAACCGTCTTTTTTAAATGACTGCAATGGGGTTGTAAACAGTACGAATTTGTTGGGTATGTCAAATCCCCAGAACTTACTTGGTAAATGGCTTAGTTTTGTAATTTTATTTTAAAAATTTGAATTTAGCTGTTTCCGCGCCAAACGCGCTCTTTTTACCTTCACGTCATATTTCCCACTTGTAAACTATCTTAAACGCTATTGGTCCATTGTTTCTTTGTGTGTGCTATTTACCAATGATGCTCAAGGACAAATTGTTGTTGTATAAATGCGCTTGACTTTTTCCCTTATTTGATTGCTTGTACTCGGCTGCTTACGGAATACATATATATTTCCCTACTTGTCTTGGACTTCTTCATCTAGTTAGCGGGGCCTGGGACAACAGATTAGAATAGCTTATCGTGTCATTGGCTTTCGTTCGTTACCGCGGAATCGATTTAGTTTCAAGCATAACAGAATTGTATGCTAATAGAAATGTTAGGCAAAAGGGAAAAAAGAGACGGAAGCATTTTAATACCTACTTTTTGATTTATATACAGTGTACTTCAGTGAATAGTTATTGCCCGTATTTGGATCTGGTGAGAAACCAGGTTTAACAAAATATACATGCATATACAATGAACCATTGAACATAAGGTTGGGAAACTACAAAAACAGAAAGAGAAAAATGGGAGAATGATTAATTCAACGTAGTTTAAGGCAAATAATACACGTCAACAAGAGTGAAGAAGTGATTTTCTATCGTGATGATCTGCTATTTACAGGAAAATCGAAAATCTGGCCAGGGTTAAACGATTTACACAATAATATACGTCTACTCTGGTAATCATAATAAACTCATGAATAATGGATGAAGTTTATTTTGCGAGGGTTATTTACGTTAACCTGTTATCCAAAACTTGGTGTGTTAAATGACAAAAGAAAGAAAGACAAATAGAGTGGAGGGATATAGTTTAATGAAAAGGCTTAGATAAAATAAAAACCAAGATATATATATATATATATATATATATATATATATATATGCTAAAAGAAAGGGATCACGCCACAACTACAATGGTCAACGTAAAAGCTTATTGTCATATAAAAAATTGATGGATGACTTCCTAGGGTAACTTGATTATAACCCGTTCTTACGTCAATAAATAAAATTAAGATAGCCAGCGGTTACTTATGTGTGGAATGTTTTTGAGTTGTTTCAGTCAATTTAGGTGTAAAAAGCTCATCGACAAGTTTTTTTATTTAATAGTGCACAAATAGCACTAGCACGAATTACTAAATGGTTTGCCATCCACAGGCACTGTTTCAAAAATGTGTACAATGGACTATTCGTAACTCCTGTCTGTCCACAATTTTTATACGATCATATTGAAGACATGCAGTGACACACACAAAATTCTAGGATACTCAATCGTCCTGATATTTCGCTTTTCGTTCAACTATAAACAATTATCAAAGGTAGACGAGACTTGTATAAATGTCAAGATTTTGTAAGTCATTAAAATGCAAGGATTGATGAGACTAGGTAGGTGGTGTGAAAAACACAGTGTTATAACTTTATATCGTAAACTAGTTATTGATAGAGATTACCCGTTATATATTTGAGTGTGACCGAATGAAGACCTGATACCTTTCCATGTATTTCTAACTTTGGGTAAAGTATCTTATTCATGACAGTGGTGGATAGTGGACTACTGAAAGGTAGCCAGAAGTAAGTTGAATTGTCTATTAAAATCAACTGCCATCATAAAAATTGGTCATAGACCAAATTTTCTTAGTAACACCCATGTAAATTGCCACCCCTTTTAGACTCGTTCCTTATAAGTTTAAGCAATCGCTTAACATTGCATATTGCCACTATCGTACTTAAGTTTAATGCCAAAAACTTTTAGTACAGATTAACTAAGCTTACACATTATAATGTGCTCGGCTGAATAAACCGAAATGAATCTACAGCTACTTATTAGTTTACAAGTAGTTATTGGGATTCATCTACCCTATGAAAAGACATGTTGAAAGACAATAACAGTCTTCACTGCTACTTTATATTAGCTACCCTAGTACAGCAGTTTTTAGTTGTATATATATTATCATCTATCATCCTAAATTAAAGACTTTTGACTCAGTTATTTATACAATACACTTGCTACCGTTGTGTCGTGATCTTTCAAATGTAACTATGTTGGGCCCATCAAGGTGTATAAACATATGCCCGAAACGGAATGATAGCAAAGTGGTAGTTTAATTATTCACTCTTCCAAATGGTAACAAGGAACTATAAGGTTTACTTCATGTCTTTATTCGATTATAATTAAGGTTAGCTGGATGTTGAAGCTAACCATATCGAATACATTTGACTTCCAAAGTGGACCAGATATCCACAAGACCATACTTTGTTAGGACATAACCATAATTAGTGAATGTGCAGGTAGAAACTATGTAGGCATGTTCGTACAGTCAACTACATTTGAATAGCATAACCGTCTTATGACAGTTAACATTATAAAATACTGAAGAATAGATTAAACAGTAAATTATTATTTATTTATATTAAAGTGTTCATACACTCAAAAAGACAGCAAAAACTCACCTGACTGCAATGAATTTCACTGATCTTTGAATATGAACCATCTCCGTCTGGCCCGCCATTCCAATCCCCATACGTAATATTGGGTTCATACCAAAATAAAGCATTAGAGTTATTAAAAGAATGAAATGTTGGATCTTCACTTAAATAGACAAATAAATCCATCAGAGAACCCGACTGATAAAGATTTGTAGCTGGGATAACCGTTTTACTTGGATCCATCTGGTTAGGTGATGGACGACGAAACAAGTTGAGGACAAAGTATGCTGTGAGCAGACGAAAAGCAAATGCCTTCAACATTCCCCATTTGTTTGGTTGGGCTTGTTGTTGTTGAACAGCAGGTGTTCCTGTTGCACCAACGGCTGGCACGACCTAAACATGACAAATTGGGGGAATGGAACAAAAAAAATATTTCACATTGTGATAGTTGTGACAATTGACTCATATTTAGTATGAACACATTATAATCCTGCTCAATGAAACTTCGAAAGTTGGCAATTGTGTACTTTTACTTAAAGTATCAGGTCCTACTAATTATAGAGACAACCTGATCACAATACTAAAGTAACAGTTATAAGAAAATGTAATGTAAGAACCAAATACAACCATACAAACAAACACGACTTGTCAACTGACGATGTCATTACAACGTTTATATATTGCCAGCCGTTGCTAAGCGCAAACCTCTGACGAAGAATGGACTTCAAAACTGAAAGTCAGTCAGCTACAACATAGGACCAGGCACATATATGCATCGGTCCAAGTTGCCATACCTTATTAGCACAACAAGATGAACACCGAATTCATAGAAGTAGTTAACTAATAAGATATATCACAACCTGAGTACAGGGACCGTTTGCCATGATCGGTGAAAGCCGCATTAGACAGCTGCAGATGCGCATTTCCTAGTGTCCTGCTGTGTCGACCATTACTCAAATAAAATAGTAAACTACCTGCAAGTGTTTAGTTTATCTTACTAGTAATATAGATGTTATTCGCTTGAATACTATCAAGAATTATAGTTCCTAAAAAGCTCTAACTAATGGTTACAGATACTTCACGACACCATGCTTTTAAATGAGTAACTTGAAACTATGAGTATGATAGTTTAGTAATCGGATCATTGGGTTTTCAATAGTTAGTTTACAGATACCGACTTGATTTGAACATTTTCAGCTTTCCTTCAACTACTCCAGACAACTCCCCACATATAACACTATCACAGCGATATATTTCATGGGGCTGCATCCCACAAACAACTAGGTTCATAAAGAACTGTGCATGCCAACAACAACCAGTTTTAGAGTGGAGTTTATAAATCCTACAAGACATCAAGAGTAGCACAATGTTCGAAATCCAATTTGAAAAAAGGTAAAGTACAACATCGAATGTGCCTTAACTATAAAGTTGTCTTGGACAATGACTAATTCAGATGTTGTTATAGTCCTGAAACATCAACTTCGGTAGCTTGGGCATGTGCTGTGAATGTTCTACCAGCGAACTCCATATCGTGCATTATCTGCAACGCTACGACTAATTGGATTAAACGGGGTGGTCAGTTAGTGAGTGCCAAGGTATAAAACTTGTACAAGACTGGTTTTTGTGGGTCCTTTGCGACTCCTTGGCTGGGGTCCTAGTGTCATTGCATTACAATGGTTAGAGATGTTACTATAGTAGTAATTGCTTTTACTTTCATAAAGTGAAAAGAACTTTTTAAACCGAAATTCTTGTTTGTATTTTCAACGGAACTACTTTTTCCACAGCATTTTACTCCCATTCACTTGTTTTTATTTATCTATTGTTCTTTTTATTATGCTCACCTTCCTCTCCTTATGTCTTTACAATCTGATTTTTTATTGTGGGGCGCATATTTATTGTGGTGCCCTTTCGTACCGACACGTTTAAGCAAAAAAAAACAGAATAAGAAAAAGAGAAACACAAAGTTTACCTCTGCAGAAGTAGTGTCAGGCATTTTGAAATTTGAAGTTTACAGGTCTAAAACAGTGAGAAAAAGGATATAGGATAGTAGTGCATAAGTTGATATCGAGAGTGCATAAAAATGTTCAGACGCTGTACCATAAGATACTTCATGATTTTTACACAAAAATGCTAACTATTAGTCAAAAAAGAGATCAAAGTTTGCTATACAAAACTGACTGATGCTTAAAGTAGAACATACAATTTGTATTTACGGAACTGGAAATTTAGATGCAAATGCTAGACAGTATACACACTACAATCTACAAAAGGCGTTAACTAAGCTGAGAAACCACTTACAGAGAATTAAGTGGTCTACTCTAGTGTAACAAAACGATTACATCAGTGCTGGTGTCAATATTGGAACCGTATCTCCAGTGTAGTAAACATATCATCAGTCAGCTACAACGTAGGACCAGGCACATATATGCATCGGTCCAAGTTGCCATACCTCGTTAACACAACAAGATCAACACCGGCTTCATAGAAATAGTTAATTTAGTGGTGATAGTATATAAAAGAAGGTTGTATATAAGGATACAGTATAGGAAGGAAAAAAGTTATGAAGCAATTTTAGTCTCAAGGTTTAAGGGAACATAAAGAGTGTATACACCTACGCCATTGTGATCGATTCTGAGTCATGTAACCTAGAGTTTCCAACCATTGGTTACGATAGTCACACGGACCCCAACCAGGTAGTCTGCACCTGCCAACATGGCTCAGACTAGAAGTTAGTGACTTCAAGCACTGATGCCATGTTTTGGTTTGGCCGCCTCTAACTCTCTTCCAACAATCCCCAGTACTAGTCATCATAGCGCGTCGTGGTAATCGGTGTTCAGGCATACGTAACACATGGCCCAACCATCTCAGTCAATGAAGATTCATCACTTCATCAACTGATTTACCATCGTTCCCTAATACCCTGCGTCTAACCTCACTATTACTTACCCGGTTATCCCAGCAGATGCGAGCAATATTTCTAAGGCATCTGCGGTCAAATACTAGTAACCTACGAGTATCTTCTACTCTTAATGGCCAGGTTTCACAGCCGTAAAGTAGAACAGAGCGAACTGATGCACAGTATACTCGTCCCTTAATTGATAGACGGATATTTCGTCTTCACCATAGGTGACGTAAGTTGGTAAAAGCCAAACGAGCTTTTTGAATCCCTGCTGAGATTTCGTCAGACACCAACCCATTAGGGCTGATCAGACTTCCAAGATAAGTGAAGTTGTCAACGCGTTCGACTACTTCACTCCCTATCCTTAGTTCGGGTGTTGACGCAGGCCAGTCCTGGAGTAACAATTTACATTTGGATGGGGAGAAACGCATCCCAAACATCCTGGCATTATTACTGAGTTCCAACAGAAGACTCTGCATTTTGCCAGCGTCTTCACCAAACAGGACTATATCATCTGCGTATTCTAAGTCGCTTAGTGGTCCCCCTGGTAGGAGATCAATTCCTGTAAATTCAGTCGAAGAGAGTGTTATTTCCAGCAACAGGTCTATAATGAAGTTGAAAAAAAAATTGGGGATAGTGGACAGCCTTGACGGACACCACTTGAGGTTGTAAAATCATATGACAGTTCGCCATAAGCTCTCACTCGACTGGTAGTGTTCGAGTAAAGAGCATTCACAAGGTTTATGTACTTTTCAGGTACACCTTTCAATGACAGACACTGCCACAGAACCTCTCGGTCTACAGAGTCAAATGCTGCTTTCAAAAAAAGAAAAACTATCATTGTCGGACGCCGATAAGCGTGTCTGTGCTCTAAAATTTGACGAATGGTGAATATGTGGTCGATACAGCCACGACCAGGTCTGAAGCCAGCCTGATTTTCTCGTGTTTGCAGTTCACGAGTCTTAGCTAGGCGCCCGATAATTATTCAGGCTAGTATTTTAGATTCTATGTTAGTCAGACTAATCCCTCTATGGTTATCGCAGGATGATTTTGACCCCTTTTTATATATTGGGACAATCAGTGATTGTGACCAGTCGGATGGGATTACATCCGTCTCCCAGATTTTAGCCAGAATATTAGTCAACCTAATCGCTAAAATCGGACCACCATATTTAAAGACCTCTGGAGCCAATCCATCTGGACCAGCTGCCCTTCCTCGTTTCAGATTACCTATAGCCTTTTGAACTTCAAGTAGGGTCGGGGGGCCTACTTCAATGTTCCATTCAGGTTTTCTAGGAATAGTGGGTAATTGTGCAGTAGCTGAAGGCCAGCTAAACTGCTCCTTAAAGTGTTCCGCCCATCGTTCTAAACGTTTGGGTTGAGAGCAGATAAGGGTTCCGTCTTTTTCCGAGGTCGTCTCACACTTGACTTCTTAATTCCGGTTTCTTTTATTAGTCTGAATAGTTGCCTGGTGTTCCCTACAGCCGCTGCCTTTTCCATCTCTTTTGCTTTCGTTGCCCACCACTGTTCATGATCGTTCCTTAGACTTCTAGCTAACCTAGATCTAATTTCTTTACGCTCTTCGTCAGAGCCTGATGGGATGCGCTTGCGCGAATCCATCAGTGAAATAGACTTAGAAGAAATCCACTGCTTTTTGGAGCCCTATGGTTTAAATGACTAATAGATGTTACTGCTGTTTCCACAGCTGTTCGTATGTCTTTCCAAGCAGCATCTGTGTCAGTCTTGTTTACAGAACTGCCTAGATGTGAACTCAGTTCTTTCTGGAATTCGCATTTGGCTTTCTCGTCCTCCACTTCAATCCTAATGGGTCTTCTTAGTGTAGTTTTCCTGCGTTCATTGAGGCGCAGACAAATGCGCGCTCGTATTAAAGCATGAACAGAGTCTAAACAAGTATTCCAATACGAGCGACAATCTTCTATTGAGCCTCTCCAGCGATGACTGATGACAATATGGTCTATTTGAGTCCATCATTGGTTTGGTGCAGGTGGTCACCATGTTAGACGATGTCTTTCCTTATGCTTAAAAATAGTGCTTGCTAAAAATAAACGATTGTCTGAGCATAGTTGCAACAGACGATCACCATTATCGGTTCGTTGAGCCGGAATACTAAAACACCCACCTAAGTGTCTTTCTGTTTGATTCAAGCTGCCTACCTGAGCATTAAAGTCACCCGCTACGACTACTATGTCTGAGCGCTTAGCTTTCTAAAGAAGCTTAGAGAGCTTTCTGTAAGAATCATCTTTCAATTGATCATGGCTGCAGTCAGTGGGAGCGTAGGCAGAAACGACGAAAAGGCAACGACGTGTGTCCATATCCTTCCGAGTTCTTACAGGACCATTTAGCCGGACAGCACACAGGCGACTGTTAACGGGGATCCATTCTAGTAGTGCCTGTTCTGCCCTTGTACTTAGTGCTATGCCTACACCTGCAAGTCCGCGAGAACTAGCCAACGGGTCGCCAGATACACGGAGGGTGTATTTCGTTTGCTGTCCATTTTGGCGAGGTGAGGTCAAGTGAATGACCACACTGGGATCTTGTATGCGTGTTTCGGAGACACAGCATACATCAATGGTACGAGATTCTAGGTTTTTAGCTAAGGAGGCCTGTTGACCGATTTGACTTAAAGTACGTACGTTGAAGGCTCCAATGTGTAGTTTGGAGCGAGGTTTCAGTAGACCTGGGACAGAGTGTCGCGCACTAGAATCGTTGGCCATAGTGACACTTGAGGAGGAAACCGAGAGAGGAAGTTTAGTGTTGAAAGTCAAGGTAGAAGGAATGGTAGGAATTAAAGAAGGAGATTGATAATGAATACAGTGGTCTTGAGTGTTGTTAGAGGTATGAGGGCAGTTATCACATCCCGGTTGCCCACACCGTGGAAGGGTTCTTCTAGAGGTACCTGAAAAGGAAATTGGGTTAGTGTTGGTCTTAATGACCTGAGAGCGTGATCGCAGTGCCCAAGGGACAACTGCTTGAGGCCGGTCACACACGACCCTTTTGTGGGTAGTTTTTGTGTTAGCTCCGTTCCTCAAAAAAAACCTTACCGCCGGAGACGGATATCCGTGGGATAAGGCGAGGTGTTCGTTTTTAGGGTTGACCTTTTCTAACCCCACCCCTCCTTGTGGGAAGGCAGCATCGCTGTCATGCTGGTTGTCTGAAGGAAACACCTTACTGCTGTCACACCTATGTACAGTCAGCAGTACGACTTCGCTTTCGGACCTTGGGTTTGCTGCTTTTAGTCTCACCGCTCTTCAACCGACCTGTCTGGCATGGTAGGACCTCGAGGAACGATTGCTCCAGCCAGTATAGCTCGATTGCTTCACCACGATAGGCAAGCCCGACCACCACGTCAATGTAGCAGAAACGGTCATAGTTACATAGGTGCTGAAGTACCATACCCCTATCCAACTTCTGCACTTTTTGAACCTCAGTACTACAGTCGGCGAAACTAAAGAACATGGACGACCTTTGAACAAATCTCAAATGACCTTGAGAAATATTAGCCAATCAGAAGACTTAGTGTATAGTAAGAATAATGATTTTAAATGCTTAAAACTAGGAGTGCTAGTGATATGGACTGAGTATTGAATGGTAAGAGCAGTAATTATCTTCGACTTTCGGCACAACAAACTTGCGACCTAATTTAAGGTTGGATCTTTTAGCACCATGGTCAAGTAGACTGGGATCAAATGCTGTACTTTTAACTGTTGTTCGAATATTAAGCCACTTGAAGAACAAATGTGTACATCTGTTAGCCAGACCAATAAGCACTTTGCTGTTACTTACAAAACCGGAAACGTACTATAAATATCATTGGCACTACCTCACAGCTAAGCTGATGAAACCCAGAAACAACGCGGCTGACTAAGCTAAGTGAACACTTGCGTAATCAGTACGATACAACATAGAGGATGATGCCAACACAAACAGGATAACTTTAAAATCTATAGTGAGCATAAAAACGTATAATATTTGCGCACTTACATAAAACACACTATGCACGGCTTATATTCAACATCCCGGGGTACTGCAGAACAAACGTCCAATACTTCCAATCACATCGAACCTGCATAGGATAAATGATTGACATATTTTTATCCCCGTACGTCGTATAACGACTATACATCTTAGATACAGTTGAGCTTATGAAATCTAATCACCAAACAAGGGTATTTCAGCCCTTTAAACATACCCTTGTAAGCAATATGAGTAAGCTTGACATAGAACTGTGAGGCTATTAAGGCTACATATACCTGTGTCGTCTAATAGTGGTTCCACTACTATCAGACAAAGGTAGTAAAATGTTAGACTGGTAATTTGGATCAGGAGAAGTGTAACGGTGATCCGATCAAGATTATTGACTAGGGCGCTAACAACATCCAACCAGTTAATGTTCGTTAAAAGTCGTTGTCAGTGTCGATTAATGGAAAACTGTTTATTTTGTGGATTGACTTGTAACTGCATCTCACTCTCTCCTACTGGTGTAGTGATGACGCTAATACGTGACCAGCCGCAAGTTTAAACCCAACGACCCTGTGGTTGATAGTCACTCTTCTGATAGCTTTCTATGTCCAGAAGCACCTAGTCTTTCATCACTACAAGGAGGTATGTGGTACAATATTATGACAATAAAATTGAGGTGAAGATTTCGATTCATCAAATTCTTGATCGGTTTTTCGTCCTTACAGTTATCTATGATAAGCAAATAATGGAAATGAAACTGCATGTGCATGTCGAACACATTTGTTCTCACGTAAGCAAGTTAAATGTGCAAAAACCGATATATTCGCGTGTACATATTCTACACGCAGCAAGAAAAATGTGACACGAAAGGGCTTTTGGGATTTCCAAAAACGTATACGTGCATAAGCATATTGAAAACAAATTTTTGACACAATAATGAAAAAATCTGACAAGAAAAATGGTATGAAATAAAAGGTTCCGAAATGAACTAGTCATTCGATTGTTCGTGAGACCTTACAGTTCTGGTAAAGAGCGTCCTGTTAGAATGGTTATCAGGTGCCCGAGATGTTTCGTCATGGTTGGAAACATTCAAGGATTGCATATTTGTCATGAGAATTCTGTCGTTCACTTATTTAATGGAAAAATCAGCATAGAAGAGATTTCCTTATATTTAAGCAGCTTTTAGACGGTCGATATTGATATCGGAGGACGGGTTGGACGAAAACACTAGTCGATTGAAGTTAATTCGATACAGGTTTAACTGAACACATAGAGTTTTGTGAGTCGGTTCGCGTGGGAGCTTAGGTTCATATTTGTCGTGAAAAATGAAGAGTCCACAATTCCTTCTGGAGGTCAGTGTCGTTCCGTAAACAAGTTTTACTGCGGTGTACCTAGTGTCAGTGCATGGAGAACACTGAGGAGCACGCATGAAAGACATCAGTCCATTGTGAAAATCTTTTACCAACCCGTTAGCTTGTGTTTGGTAGACGGTCATTCGGAGTCGTGTGATTTCTAGGAGCGTAACAAGATGGCGAAAAAGGACAAGATTCGACGTATATGGTCTTTAGTAGTAGTTCAAGGACGGCCGAATTTCATTACGCATCTCTTGACGAAAACGCAGATTATCACTTCGTCAGTAATGTCCTTGATAGACACGTTTACTGGACATCGTATGAAACGGCCCAGATATACTAAGAGATAAAAATATACATTGAATCTGGCAAAAGTCCTATCAAATCCAGATGAACTTGGTCGAAACAAGCGTCAAGAGTGGCGGAAGAGCCGATCAAACATTGTTTTTTTCTAATCGCCTTAGATTTCTGGCAGCTTGCAACGTATTTACTTTCTCGCATCTTTATTCATACAGGGCTAGAAAAATCATTCTGAGATGAGCTTGGTGGTTGCAGGAACATCTGGACAAGAAAAATGATGCAAAGTGCTGATGACAATGCGTCCATAATGGTTCGACACAATAAGACGATTTCGATTTGTATATACGCCACAAAGTATGGTTTACTCACCTCTTCCCATCTACCTGATCCTTAGTTTCAGGGTTGTCGAAGATAACTCATGCTGAAGATTAGTACCTTCTTTTTGAAGCTAGTTGAGTTTGAGAAGGTCGATTCCTTGTTCGAGACAAAGCGTCCGTAGCTAAACTGTTTGCCCCCAGAAATATGTTGTATATCTGAACTAGTCTGATGGATAATAACTTATTCTCAAATAACATTATGTTCTACAGAGCTTGTCAGTTTACAGGCGAGATCAAAATGCTACAAACATAACAGGATTCAATGTGATGAGGTACTCAGTCAGGTCAAAAAGTTATTAGAAGTGCTGGACGTAGAAACAGTGGTTTCAGTTTGTGTATTTAAGGGTGTTAATAATAATATATTTATGGCATTGCAAGTACACGCCCATTTTACAGGCACGATCAGCAATTTGCAACACGGGTTTGCAGATACCATGCTGTTCAGGTATTACGCAGACTTTCGAGGCTCTTAAGGACAGTAGTTGTCCGATGACGAGCTGAGAGGAAAGCTGAAAATCTATGGTATTGAAGAGTATTGCAGTTGTCTCCATAAGAATGTCAAGGGTCGCCAGGTTTTGTTTACTTATTGTTTTATGACTCTTTTAGTTTCCGGACAAGATGTATCTTGGGAGAAATTAAAGGGTGCTTTCGTGACGAGGTGCGCCAAGATAGTAGACTTGATGATATTGCCTTTCATCGCGTTAGATGAGTGGTGGTGTTGGATCATAACCACACTACCTTTAAAGCTAAGCACATAATTGCTGAAAAGATTTGTATTCAAGTGTTACGAGAAGCTGGAAGCTCTGGACGGTTGTTCCGTCCTATTGTGGGACTACTAAGTAGTGAGCATTCATGATCCCATCTCGTGAGATTTGAACTCAGGATCTATCAGTTTCGCGCGTGAGCGTTTGACCACTAGAACACTGATCCGGCATCCAACGGTGCTAATGTCTAACTGCAACCGATCCACGAAATTGAGAGACAAATCCACCAATGTCTCCAGCGAGTTACTATCTCACAACAGACCTGGTTGAACTCCGCTGGTCACTACTTCTCACTAGAGGTCTAGAGGTTAAGGGCTCGCGCGCGAAGCTGATAGATCCTGAGTTAGAATCTCACGAGGCGGGATCGTGGATGCGCACTGCTGAGGAGTCCCACAATAGGACGAAACGGTCGTCCAGCGCTTCCAGGTTTCCCATGGTGGTCTAGCTTCAATTCACTCATGACCTCAACTACTAAAATTACCATAATATCCACAAAACCCCTTCTGAGATTAGGAAAAAGTTAACAATGGTAAGCACGGAAACTTAAATTCAGTTCAATTTGGTGGCATAGCTCCAACTCGCAGACGTGGTTATTCTAGAAAACATCTTTACTCGCGTTAAATATAATTCTCTATCCCTAGTCTAAATGTGTCCTTCAGAAGCGCCAAGCATTATACTGCTGATTGTTACGGTACGATGAGTCAGAATAGACAATGATTTGACTTCCACGTAAGATCTAATAGATTGGGTAGTCACATCATGACAATTCTACAATTTCGATGTTACATCTATTATTAGAGCAGCACTAATATCTGAACTAGGCTATAATACTACAGATGCTTTCTTCGCACTTTAGTCCGAGTTGATGATTTTTTTCAGTTCCACTAAATTGGTCTGTTAAAGATCTCATGAGACACTCAGTTCAATATGAACCATGGATAAAAACTTGCCGGGTTTTTAAACTTGCATCACTGCTTCTGTGGTAGTCGGTCATGGGTAGTCCAAAATGACAGCCAATTTATTTTGTGGAGACTAAATGCCTTGAGTGTGTATGTTATGCCCATGAAATTTTAGAGAGTTGGCTCCTAAATGTTTACAGTAATGCCATGTTTTGGGAGTCTTTTGGCAACAAGGTCAAAATGCTGAAGATAAGATTCTCCACACGGACTTGTGATCAGGCAGTCATCACAAAGTTGAGATCCATGAATACGTCATCGATGAATCTATGAAAGTCTACGCAGCATATAGAAAACTGAAAGGCATGCGCAAAAATTCGTAGAGTCCAAAAGAAGTTGTGATAGCCGTTTTAGGAACGCTCTGACCAACTCAACATGGTACTTCGGCACAGTGTTAGGAAGCATATCCCGACCTTCATAACGCCGGTTTAGAGGAGTTTGTGGTGAATTACGAAGTACTTAGTCACGCGTAATGCAACATAACTTGGGTTGGATGAGGATGCTGGCTGGAGAAGACAAAACCGGAGACAACAGTTTCAAACTAGCCCTTGCTATTGCCTAGATTCATATATGGTTAAGGTGGAACATTGAAGATTTCTCTGATAGTCATGATCTAGAATATCTTGGATATATTGCATGTAGTGTCTACTTTCTCTGAGCTGCGAATCCTGCGCTTGACACAAGTGAGTACGTTTACGGACAAAAGGGAAGTCTCCATATATCGTAGGAATCCTATCAATAAACCATTGGCTCACGAGCAGTAGAAGAACGTTCGGAATCTTATGGCTGCCTGAATGTTACGTAGACTGTACAAGATTTGAAATTCGAATTGACATCCACCGCTAACTGAATAGTTGATGGGCAACAAAAATTTGAGACTCATCTTTTGATGAATGAGCTAGTCATTGTTTCAAGAATGACGTTCTTGATAAAAAAAATCCTAATCATCAGACAAGGCAATAACTTTTTGTTAGGTGAGCGTCTTTGTCAGATTCTGTAAGAATCCATCAGATGAAGATATACGTAACATATGTAGCAGTAAATATACCTTGAAATCAGTAATTCTGTAGGTCTTTGGCATTGGTGGTTACCTTGTTAGTTTTACTGGATACACCCTGGTCACGCATCAGCACAAAATTACCACTTCATATATCATGTAATCAACCCCATTCAGACAATTAACCAATTAAGATGGAACGCTTCTTAACACATCGATAATTTTTCGAATATCTCTTCAAATCCTTTCATTCCTGACTTTTAATTTGACTGAGTTTGTGACTTTCGATTATAGAGGTGTGGCATCTTTATGTATATCAATAGTTTAAAATTAACCTGATAGGT